GTGTCAGGGGATCATCTCTTCCCTTGAAAGTAAATCCTTTGATAGGAATGGAGGAGCTCTTAAAAAAAGGGGCCGAAAACATGATCAAGTTTAACAAAGAGCTCATCAGCTTCCCAGAGGCTTTTACTTTATTATACCTCGACAGAAGTGCAGTGCAATTTTTGCCAGGTAGTGAGGATACAAAGATACAAGGATGAGCTAGGAAAATTCTACCAACGGATTACTTTGTATTTATGCCTCAAAATCGATTATAACGAATGAGCTGAATTTGAGTCTTCTTTTTAGCATCTCTCATCTGATCTGACCTCAGTCTGTTGTCAACTAATATGAAATGCGCGCGCGCAAAGGCTTTTCCATTTTGTTTGCAGGGTTTCCTTTTTTTGTTTGTAGCGTTTCATTTTTTTGTTTGCAGCATTTCCTTTCTTGTTTGCAGCGTTTTCTTTTCCTTGCTGGAGTTTTTATTTTTTGCTTGCAGCGTTTCTTTATTTGTTTGCTAGTGTTTTTATTTTTTTTTGTTTGCAGCGTTTCTTTTATGTTTGCAGCATTTCTTTTTTGTTTGCAGCGTTTCATTTTTTTCTCTTATATTCCATTTTTGTTTGCATCGTTTCTATTTTTGTTTGCATCGTTTCTATTTTTGTTTGCAGCGTTTCATTTTTGTTTGCAGCGTTTCTTTTCTGTTTCCATGATTTCTTTTTTGTTTGCAGCGTTTCTCTTTTGTTTGCAGCGTTTCTTTTTTGTTTGCAGCATTTCTTTTTCTTTGCAGTGTGTCCCTTGTGGGCCATCGTACGGAGCACACACAACCAAAACAAAACAAGGTAAAAAATGAACGACAGCAGACCAACACGATTTAAGACTACATCGTTTAACTTCTTTTCGTACTTTTACACCAAAGGGTTTACTGGGCGCGAAGCTTTACTTAATTTTCACCATTGATTTCACCTATGATTTCACACATACAATAATGAATGAAAACATATTAGGCTATATAATAAGAGATAAGATATTTATCTATCATTTGATTCAAAAAAAAATATGAACGTTATAAAAATACAAGTATATTAAATATACGCCGGACCGATTTTGGCTTATGTGGACTATATTTGGCAGGTAATTTTGAAGTCACCGGACCACATTTTTCCTGACAGGCCTATTGAATAGTGGCCTATCTATCTTAATGCACCATTCAGAGATAGAGGATAGAGGATAGGCCCTATAGGTATGCTAACTACACCTGAGTCTAGGCCTATCTGTGATCGATATCATGCTAGGCTAGGCCGCACCTAGGCTAGAGCCTATACCTGCGCCAGAGCTAGGGGCTGTGGCTAATCCTGTGCCTATAGATAGGCCTGTGTGTAGGGCTAGCCGGTATGGTTGGCCGAGGTTATATCATCATGGCTTGTGCCCAGGTGTATATTTATTTTTACCTGATCGACTTCTAAAACATGCGCCATTTATTGCTGATTGTTTTTTGTGTCATAAAACTACTGCAATAATGGGTAGTTGCACAGGTACGCGTTCTTTTACGGCCTGACTCGAGTTTTTTTTAACCTATAAGCATTGCATTGCAGAATGTGAATACTGTAATTGTATTTACGTGACGTAAGCAACTTGCGAAACACTAGGTACTAATATTCGGTGGTTTTTGCTGTTTTTTCGTTGTCAGGGGCGGATTTGGGGGGGGGACGCGGCCCGGCCCCGGCCCCCTACCCCTTGGGAGGTAAAAAAAAGAAGAAAGAAGAAAGAAAAAAAAAACAGAAAAGGAAAAGAATATAAGCCCAGCTGATCGCCTCAAATGTTATTTTCGGGCGTCTAGAACACAACAATTTCGCGGGGGAATTCCCCCGGACCCCATAGGACAGTGTTGTCTCGATCAGCCCAACTTTAGGCCCTTTCACCCCCCCCCCCCCCCTTTAGTCATCTCTGGATCCGGCCCTGCAGTTGTTATCCAATATCCAGCATTAATTAAAGTGGCGGAACGTGGTCGTGACATAAAGCCCCAGCTGTATATGAGCACATTCCTGCCAGCGGTTTCAGAGGAGATAGGGGAAGTTACGCAGTGGCAATTAGCAGAATTAGTATGTAGATACAGTGTCCATGGCTACATTTATTTATATAATATACATATATTTATATTTATAATTAGATTTACATTATATATATATGTATATATATATATATATATATATATATAAAATAGTCATATGTATGTTGCACGTATGTTCCACGTATTATAAAGAAAAGTGTGTGTGCGTGTTATTAATGATAACTATCACCTTTATTGTATATATTACTTAGTATAGCTTTATGCAATGTAACACATCTAGATGGGTATAAGAGACAGGGCCTAGCCTTACCTCGATTTAGGGTTCTGTTATCACACATAAAAACGGCCGACATGATATTTTCCGTTGCTAGTATTGACACTTGTGAATATAATATTTCACAGGAATTATTTCAAATTTGTTAAAAAACTGATTCTGACTGAGAT